TAATTAGGACAGCTACTACGTTTCGAAACCGACGCGTTAGACCTCGCTCTTGGAGGCTGCGCTAGCTAGCTACACGAAGGCAAGTGGCACCTAATCGCCTACTACTCGCGCAAGTTCTTAGGACACGAAGAACGATACGACGTTTACGATAAGGAGCTTCTAGCTATTGTCGCCTGCCTAGAACATTAGAGAGTATACGCCGAAAGCTGCTCGGAACTTACGATATTTACGGATTACAAGAACTTAGTTAACTTCACGACTACTAAGAAACTTAATCGCAGACAAATTTGATGGTCGGAGAAATTGGGCTAATACAAGTTTAAGATTATGTATACACCTGGGAAAGATAACGGCAGAGCAGACGCTCTTAGCCGCAGACACGACATTGCAGGAACTAAATCTATTACGAGTACTGCGATACTTAAGGTTAATGACGACGGGTTATTAGGACTAGCTAAGACGCTGAACTCGATACTGCGAGTTACTAGCGAAGTACTGGAAGAATTGTAAGAAGCAATTATTAAGCAACACTATGACGACTCTGTACACGGTTACTCTGGTATTACTAGAACTATGGAACTTATTTGACGCAACTACGAGTTTCTAAACATGAGGGACAAGATTACTGCCTTTATCGCTAAGTGCGCAGACTGTTAGAAGAATAAGCACAGTACCTACGCACTCTACGGAGAAATGCAGGCAATGGAGCTGCCTGACTAGCCTTGGTTAGACATCTCTATGGACTTTGTTACAGGCCTACTAGTCTTAAGAGACCCTGTGACACAAGTGTTCTACGACGCTATTCTTGTAGTAGTAGATTGTTTTACGAAGCAAGCTGAGTACATCGCCTTTCGCAAGAACTTTACGGCAGTACAGCTTGCACACATTATTAACGATTGCATTATCTGACACTACGGCATTCTAAAGTTAATTATTAGTGACAGAGACAAGCTCTTTACTTCGAACTTCTGGACTACCTTGTTAGCCGCTATTGGAACTAAGAGAAAGCTATTGACAGCTTATTATCCGCAGACAGACGGACAGACCGAGCGAACGAATTGCACGATGAAAGCCTATCTACGCATCTATGCTAACGAATAACAAAACAACTAGGTATTGTTACTACCTATGGCATAGATGGCGTATAACAATAAGCTTTCTAAGTCTACAGGACAGACTCCGTTCTACGCGAACTACGAGAGACACCTAAATCTCTTTACACGTACTTTTCCTAGTTAGAAGACAGAAGCAGCTATTGCTACTGCCGATAAGCTAAAGACAGTATATGAGTTACTTAAAGCGACACTCGAGAAGGTATAACGCTAGAGCATTTTATATGTTAACAAGAAACGAAAAACGGCACCTTAGCTAAAGAAGGGGGATAAAGTTTATTTGCTTACGAAGAATCTCTGCACTAAACGACCTAACAAAGGGCTCGACAACGTTAAGGTCGGACTGTTTTTGATTCTTAACTAGAAGGGACTAGTTACGTTTACACTCGACCTTCTACCCGACGCAAAAATCTACCTACGATTCTATATTAACATGTTGGAACTAGCAGATCCTAAAACGCTACTCTAGAAAACCTTTTATTTTGAAATAGAAGAAGACAATGTCTTCGAGGTTGAACGAATCCTCGAACATTGACAACGTAACAACAGAACAGAGTACCTAGTTAAATAGTTAGGATACGACGACAGCGACAATATATAGGAACTAGATACGAACTTTACGAACTGCTGATAGTACCTTCGGAAGTACTAAGCTTAGCGACGGAAGCATCGAGCATACCTATTGTAGCCTACATGGTCGGCGAGAATGCGACGCTAATTGATGCAGCAGGGCAATTGATATCCTGCGCTGCTTCTGTCTTACTAGCCGCCTTTATGTCTGAAGCCAAACAAAGCGCTTTCTTACGCGCCTGTTCCTCTGCCTGTTTTAGAATTTTCTTATTCTGTAGTAACCGCGAAATCACCGCTGCTAACAACTTTTCATTATTATCGACTTTCTTTTAGTACTTCTCCCGAGTACGGTCTAAGGACTTCTAGGACATGTTTACACATGCCTAACCTAACCGAGTGCACTTAGTACACTTTAGACGAGAATCTAGCATAACGAGACAAACGACTTTTTTAAGAAAACAATAGTTACAAGGAGCTTTAGCAGGATAGTTGGCTCGAGCAATTTTAGAGCTGAGGCGTAAGCGACGTTAGTGAGAAGAGGACATGACGACTGCCTTACTTATGACGCGGGGCAAGCCTCAGTTATTAATGGAAACGACAAATTAGTTACGTAATTCGAGGACGAATCTATAGAGGAGGAGGATGGTGTTACGATCTAACCTAAGGGGCACCCCGGGGGTCAGCGTAATCACTTTAAAGGATCGTGCGGCACAGTTGTAGGAGTGCGGCACGGGAACTGCGCCGCAGTTACGTGACTGCTCGTCTACGAGCAGGACGGCGCTAGTTCTATACGAGCGCTTGTCCACGAGCATAAGCAGTTAGACTAATAACTAGCAAGACACATTACTGCTTGTCTACGATTACTTACACGCTCGTCTACGAGCGCAACACTTATTAAAGTATATAGCTTAGACACTAAACTCTTATAGCTTAGTGTGTTTAACTTTGTACAAGACTCTAGTATTTAATCTAAGGATTATACTTCTTTCTTAACCTCTTGTAATATTACATCGTTCTACTAAACGTGCTATTACACTCTCGTACTATTACATCGATCTTCTAATTGTGCTAGTACACCAACCCGTCCTACCTCACTTACTTATACCCCGAGAACTAACTCTTAGGTTATCTTAGGACGACCTTCACAGCCTTCTCCTCTTCTATCTTCTTTGTCTTCTTCTATCGCTCTAGTTACGCCTACATAACCTTAGCTACCTCGCCTTAGATAGATAGCTCGCTGTTCTCTTTATTATAAACAACAAAGTATTGCTATAGCGCTCTTTCTCGAAAAAATGTCTACACTTTAATCTTTTCGTACGCGGTGTTATCCTTCTTATTCTATAGCAGCTTATATATACTCTTCTAATATATCTATAACTTATTAATATTAATAGTAATATATTCGCACTTATTCTCTATACACTAAAAGCCGTCTAGCGGTACACTAAGCTCTATAATTAGTAGGCCTAGCAGTGTAGGTAGCTAAATCTCTTACAGGTTGCGAATCTATTCGCGATTATTGTAACTCGCGATAACCTACTGCCGTAGCTAGCTGCTAATACTATAATATTAACGCAGATACGCATTAAGATTCTATAGCGCAGTCGCGTGCTGCTTATAGATAAGCGTCCTATACTTATATAGATAGCATATTATGTTCTTAATCGCGTTAAGTAATACGGGCGGGTTATATAGGCGGCGCGCGGTTGTTGTAGTAGTTAATATTTCTTAGGTAGCTAGCGCGTTAGGCGGTTGCGCGATCTACGAGAACTCTATGTTTTCTGCAGCTTAATACAACGCGTAATAGTAGATAATTGTTAGTGTTATTATCTAAAAGATATATTCTAATAGCAAAAAGTTAATCTGCGGTATAAAAATAATAGAATTTAAATAGCAATGCCCGCGAGGATACTAAACGAGGATACTCTTAGATTTCGCTGTTCTAGGTTAGCGAGCCCTAACGCTTAGCCTAGTTTAGCGCGAGGATACGTATTCTCGTTGCCTTATATTAGTTAGGTAACTATAGCGAGTACACTAGTCGAATTAATATAGTTACTCTAAGAGTAATAATAATAAGTACTGCAAGAAGTTATTAAGTTAGTATAAGAATATATAGTAGAGAAGAGAGAGGTAGTATTATAGTTATAGAGAGAGAAGTAGATAAGCACTAGGTTTTATAGAAGACTAATAGCTATATTAGATATAATAATAACTAATCTATAAGAATAAAGAGAGCGCTAAGAAATACGTAACCTACTCTGCAGTTCTACGCATGTTATATATATTAGTGTTATTAGCTATAAAGAGATTCTTAGAAATTCTACTTAGCCTTACTACGTTCTAGCTTCTAGAACTTACTAAGACTCGCTAAGACTTATAAGACTAGAGAGTTACCTTAAGTATATAGCTTAGGCACTAAGCTCTTATAGCTTAGTGTGTTTAACTTTATATAAGACTCTAGTATTTAATCTAAGGATTATACTTCTTTCTTAACTCTTTATAATATTACATTATTCTACTAAATATACTATTACCTCTTATACTATTATATTAATCTTCTAATCGTGCTAGTATACTAACCTATTCTACCTCACTTACTTACTCCTCGAGAACTAACTCTTAGGTTATCTTAGAACGACCTTTATAAGAGTATTCTCTAAGTAAGTTATAAATAGCGCCTTTACGTTCTTCTTAAGAGTAGTTAGATTATCTATAGTAACTCTAGCGTAAAGATTCTATAACTTAGCTAGCTTAATACGTTTTAGCTAGAGTATTCTCTAGATACGTAAGCGTTATAGCTTCTAGTCTAGAATAGTCTCTTCTAGACTAGCCTAAGTCTCTTTAGAAGTAAGAACGCAATTCTATAGTAACTATAGTAGAATTAGACTATTACTCTCTTTATTATCTATCTTATATATAGAAGTTATTAGTTTAAGCACTTTCTTCTTAATAGAAGTTAGTACTAATAGATCTATAGCTAATACTACTACGTTAGATAGTTCTACGTTATTATTAATATTTATTAGTATATAACTATTACTATAAGTATTGCGAGTAGATATTATATAATATAGGCGTATTATAAGATAAATAATTTAAATATTAGGCTATTAACTACTAATTAATACAGAATACAAGAGATAGTAGAGTAATAGTATATTATCTAGTAAAGATAGACGAATCGTTGCCTACTTAGTTACAATTCTCTAGATCTACTTATACTCGCGCTAGGTGAGATCACCTAATCGTCTGAAACACAGGTTCCTGACAGGTAATACAACTGTTACGTATTGTATTCTACTACGTGTCTTAGTCTATCTACGCCGTGCATTGCCCTGTTGGAAAGCATTGCAGGTTATCGATTGCGAAAGTTGTACTCGCAGCGAGATTGAGGCCAGAGCCGGAGTAAACGACAACTATTATTGTATGCTGGTCCTGCGCATTCGCGACTCCAGGACCGCCTAACGTCTTCCAAACAGCCTCCTCTGGACCTGTCGACACGCCTACGAATCTACCCTTCGATACACCGTTCTCCATGTAAGTCACGACTTGATTGTCGATTGCCAGAACGGCTTGCACGGGGTAACGTGCGCGATTGTCGGTCTGAACTATCTTAAACCCGACCGTGCAGTTGTAGTTGCTACCGGCTGGGATGTAGACGTTTTGGAGCGTGAACCTCCAATTCTGGGCTCCCGTGTACCGGTTGGTCAACGTAGTGTAAAGCGCATGCGAACCGTCGAGCGGCGCGAAGGGTGCCATGTCAGCAAACAGGACTTCGGTCTTTCCGAACGCAGTATTAGCACCGTACAAGTTGGTCCATGGTGCAATGGCTCCGCTTTCGAAAGAGGGATTATAGCTCGCGGCGAGCGTGTTGCAAGTTGCTGGCGCCGACGTGGTGGATGTCGCGACGATGGAAGGCACTGGGGATGATGAAGCGGGTATCTCCGGGAGTGGCGACGGCGTCTCGACCACTGAGCTTGATGGGGTCTCTTGGACTGGTGTGGGGGTGGTTCCGGAGGATGCGACAGGCTCCGACGATGGTGACGCGCTAATCACGGGCGCAACGGTGGAAGAGATGGTCTCGGTTTCGGAGGATGCTATAGACTCCGACGAAGGCGAAGCGGTAATCACGGGAGCAACAGTCGAAGAGATGGTCTCAGTTTCGGTCTCCATCGGTACAGCCTGAGATTCTGTAGACACTGGCGTGGGTGTGGTGGACGGCTCGACAGATGTCACAAGCGCGGTGGTCGATGCGACGGAAGAGACAATCTCAACTTGCGAGGAAGCGACCTCCGATGTGGCTGTGCTCAAAAGCTCGGTAGTAGTGGCAGGCGACTCTGCAAGGGTATTCAAGACGCTTGGAGAGCTGGTGATAGCGTCCGTTGAGGCGGTGACCCCTGACGTTGCGAGTGAGGCTGGAGGCTGGCCAGCCGCAGAATCGACCTCCGAGGCCGCTGTTGACTCTGGAGTGGCTTCCAGCGGAGACAAGCTTTCCACTGCGGTGACCGATGCGCTTGCGCTTGTCGCAAACGTACTTAGGTACAGGCTTTCGACCGACGGAATCGTGGATGAAGAAGATGGAACCGGGTCGGCGAGCGATGCGCTCGTGGCCTGGGACGAGGTAGTGGAAGACGACGCGGTGCTTGGCGGCGAGGCTGATGATGAGCCTGCGTGTGTGCTCGCAGCTGGTGGTACGCTCGCCGGTGCGATTGGGGCCTTTGCAGGCGTGGACGAGGCGGACGAGACGGACGAGGATGCAGGCTTGCAATTGCCGAAGCCTGGCTGGCAGCCGCTACCGCAGTATGCATCGGTACTTCCACTGTGTCGCATTAGTATACAGTAGCATGCAAGGGGCACATGATACCTGAACGTACCAGTATGAGTATTTACTGCAGCAGTTACCCCATTTGGATCCAGCACATGTCATCCCGACGGGTGACGCTTGGTAGGCACTTCCGCATCGCGCATTGATGGAGACCTTATGAGTAGCGGGTTTCGTGGCGGCCGATGAAGCGGTGGAAGGAGGACGAGTTGACGTCGACGTTGAACGCGTCGTCGTAGCAGAAGGGGAGGCAGCTGAGCTTGAGCAGGAACCGAAAGCAGAATTACAGCCTGAGCCGCAGTACGCGTTAGACGATCCGCAGTATCCGTATCTGGAAATGTGTTGTGATCAGCGAGTTGTCCACGTGGTACTGTGCCTTCCAAGGTTGACTTACTGCGAGCAACAATTGCCGAATACAGACTTAAAGCACGTGAAGCCACTCTTTCCGCCGCAACTCCCATCCTTTGATACCTTTGCAGATGCCGAGATCGGAACAGGCAAGGGTTTACAATTCCCAAAGCCCGACTGGCAGCCGGAGTCACAATGAGCGGAAGTCTTGCCGCAGTAATTGTATTGCGAGCAGCAGTTACCGAAAGAGGAACCGGTGCACGTGAGACCAAAGCTGCTTCCGCAGCGGCCGGTCTTGGACATGCGTGGACTGCTCACAGCAGCATCGATGATGGGGAGAGCGGCTAAAAGCGCAAGGAGAATCGATCGCATGATGACGAATTACGTATTAAGAATTATTGGTGAAATAATGTTGATGCGAGACTGAACGAGTGACGAGTCGGACGGAAGGAAGGGCTGCCGGACAATGTCTGACGAAGGAGATAATGAGAGACGGTGCGCGATGCTTCATGTCGAAGGCCATGGCGATGATATTTATGGCGCTCATAATTACGTCCTTGTCGTGAAGGTCGCCGCTTCGACCGAGAGAGTAGAACTACACGATGCGAAGCCACATGCGGGTCAATGAAGCCATAACGCGAAAGCGAACTCAATGCGGTGAGCTGAATGCCGCAAAAGGAAATCCATGCACTCTTTCGAAGCTGTTGTGATGTTGGTCGAGAGGGTGTAGGAGATCTAGATTGTGGGAGCCGTACGATGTTCGCGCGGAGCCGCCGAAGATCAGTACCATTTGGGCTAGGCTGCCGTGACTAGCGCCCGCCCTCTGCGCCATAGGGGTGAGCTTGACGATGCGAGCAGTAATTCACGAAGTGTTCAATCTCCACAAACGACAACGGGGCACAAAGCAAAGAGTACGCCTTTCGCTTGGACTGTGGTCTGGACCTCGTTCAAGCTGGGTCATGCAGGTGTTACTTTGGTATAAGGCATGATCCAGAAGAGACGATAGGGCAAGGAAATGTGTCAATGCCCAAGCGAACCCCTCGTTCGCGCAATAGCTTTGCTCTGGGCTCCGCGCTCGAACCTGAAGTCTTTTGGCGGGAGAAATCGAGTGAGTATATTGGTGAGTTGGTAAGTCGATAACGGTAGTTCGCAATAGCTTTCATTACAAGTTAACCTCATTCTACTACATCTGCGTAATCTTCACCGTCCTCATAATCCCTCTTTGACCCGCTGCAGCTACATCAGCCGTCCCATTATATCTATCCTGCTCCCACTCCTTGTTCAACTCGATCGTACTCCCACTTGGACTCGCGTTCCCACTGGTGACATGGACAGTATGGTGTTTCGAATCATGATTACTGAGCTGGATATCGTTTCCACCATGCTGACTTGCATGTTCCAGGTACCCCGAACGTGACGGGTGTGCCGAGTTCCACATGCGCGAGTGCTTGCGAGAGGTGCTATCATGCGTCGACATTTCACCAAACACTTGGCGGAGCAAGGGACGGAGAGTCGCGGCGGCGGAGGTCGCAAGGCCGATTCCGGTTTCGCAGGTGGACCAGATCGCGACGTCGGTGGTAGAGTATAGGAAGTCGGGTATATCGTTTAGGCCGCTTATGAATGGGATGCGGACGACTGTTGCGGTGGAGCCGCTGGTGTTGAGTTAGCATACGATACAGGGAACCCTCTAGAGGCGCGATGAGCTTACATAGCGCAGCAAGCCAGTACAACAGCCACCGTCATCTTCTTCCTCTTATTCATCTGCAGGTTGTGCACGATAAAGATTGGAACAATACTGAATGTCCAGTCCGTGACACAGGACAATGCAGAGTAGCCGTAGAACGAGTTCACGACAAATTTTGAGGGGATGCAGTGTCCTTTGCCGCCGCGAAACTGTTCCCAGAAGAACGAGACAGGCCAGCACTGGAAGGTGAAGACGAAGAAAAAGTACACGCTGTATACTTGGATGGCGATAAGGGCGATCCAAAGAATCATGCGATGGGTTCTATCCTGGGCGATGCGCAGCAGGAAGATGCCGATGCTCATCTTGAGGAAGATATTCGTAACAACGTAAGTGGGCTCGCAAGTCCACCACCACTGATACGAGTTGTCAGCCCCAGGGGATATGCTGTGGAAGTGGTACTACACACCTTCATGCCAATGGGATACTTTTCGTCCGGGATGAGATATCGTCGCTTCCCGGTTCCATTTTGGAGACCTAGCAGCGCGGAGGTACAAAAGACCAAGAAGGATATCAGGGTAAGAACAGAGAAGTAGTCATCGGCCGCGAAGTTCTTCACGAGGACCAACTTGCAGTAGCATCGAAGCAGTACTAGCAGGGTGCAAATGCAGATGAAGAAGCCCAAAACACCGGTGAACTCTCCGGATCGGTCTTCTCGCGACATGGTTGTCGGTGGAAATGTAGTCAAGAAATCGGTCCAACTCTAAACTCACCATGCGGGGAGACGGCTATGTAATCTATCAAACCTTCGGCGCGTCCTTTTCCATAGGGGTCGACATGACTTGAAACAAGACTTTAACACGAGCGCTATGCATGCAGGGACAGGATGATGGCCTGTGTCGGTGAAGGATTTTCCGTAAGGCGTGCAGCACGCGAGAAATGATCCACGATCCGTCCCCACAGCGGCTGGACCCTGACTCGGATAACAATGGCCTGACATGATGCTACTCGATCGCTTGGTTATCCCGCGAAGCTTAGTTTACCCACAGAAGGCTTTCTAGACTAGGAACTGGGCAAGTTTTCCGGGAAAGTAATATAAAGTGCTCTTCGTTGTTTCCATGTGGCTGATCTAGATCTGCGCAGCCTCACCAGGAATAACCGCTTGAGTCGCATCTGTTGAGAACTCTCCAACATCAAGCATCTCGAATTTATCGCACCGTCTTGTTATGGTCGCCACTGACTTGTTTTTTGACGTCGCCTCTCCGCTCGTGAGGTATTCGCGAGCGTGCGACACGATCTATTGTTGTGAGAGTCAATTGGGAATATGTGCGAATGTACTCTCAACGACACTTGCGGCTCATTCCGCTGTTTGTGATGCACGCCGCTTCAGAGCCACGGCCATGTCAGTCCAAGCGTGTCGGATTGTCCCTAGTGTTCTCAAATGCAAACGAACGTGATGCGCAATTATTGACGAGGGAAGGAAATCCCCGTTTGCGTTGTACGTGGGGAGATGAGACTAAAACTCGATTCGAGTGCCCATGACGGCAACTATACGACGTGTCGACGGCGCAGATTTACTCGCACATTAGTGTCCAACGCGAAGCAGTATGTACCTGACTATGATGTAACCCTACTGTTAAAGCCGTCTTCTAAATTAGGTCGCGATGCGACACGCGTCGCGTGACGACACTGCGACGCGAAGACTTCCATGCTTTATGGGATGAACGGGGGACTTGGAAGCGATGCGCAACGCTATGCTTCGAAGCAAAGGTCAGATGCATGCCTGGGGTTCATGTTTCAGGGCTTTGCGATCGTAGAATGGGTCGTCTTGAGCCGCGGGGGTGGCTGCGCAAGGCGAGACGCCGTGAGCACATCGATGAAGCCGTGTCGCAAGGTCGGATTTGCGTGATAGGCCGAAGGCTGCGTCGGAAGGAACAGCCGACATCGCGGAGAGGCAGGCCAATGGTGGTCAATGGTGAACGGGGGAGAGGCGACCGGTATGATGTCCGCGGGGCGCCGAGCATTGGCACTGTTCGGGTAAGGGTGCCGAAGATAGCGTCCGCTCTGGCGCCCTGACAGGGAAGGCATTCACGCTCCGTGTAGCAACAACAACCTCGAGATAATTAGAACCTTCGCGATCGTGATTACCGCAGCCGCCGGCGCACACCACGATGGCGCATACATTGCGACATGCTCCAGCTTCACACAACGCACTGCAGCCTGATGCCTATGACAGTCTGCAAGCTACTGTGCCACATTCGGCGGGGGCCCTGTCCTCCAGCCGGCCGACATGTATTGCCGCGTCCCGACGCGCGCAACATGTGTAGGAGCATGCGTCGTCGATAGCGAATCACTGCCTCGTCGTCCGCAGGAGAGCCACTGGGGTTCTCAAGGCACACACGGTTGGATCTTCGGCCCGTCGCGTTATCAACCATCATTGCCTCTTTCACCTGCCCACATCGCTGATCTTCTCTTCATGTTCGGGGGTGCCGCATGCCTACAACGCTCAGCTTGAGCTCGTCTGCGACTTCTCGCGCCGTATGCTGGGGGAATGCGGGTTAATGCATCGCAGGAGCGAGACGTGGTAGGCTATCATTCGAGCCATGCTGGGCTACCAGCCGCGGCTACGCGTACTCATGTACAGCAATGACGGGTAAAAACAACAGGGTCCCGGCACTTCGCTCTTCTTCGAAACGCAAATCACTTCGCTTTGGGCCGTTGTGTCTCGCGTACAATTATTCCTCACGCACTCTCATCGTTCGCGTATTCTTTGTGCTCATAGGAAACTTCATTCTACTTCCCTGCTCTATATCCATTGTGGAAGGAAGCGCTTACAACAAACCAATCATGTCTCTGCAATCTCATGAAACGAAAGATCTGTTGGACATCGTGGACAACCTCCGATCACATGGAATCAATCGATACATCAACCTGCCCGAGATCATCGTATGCGGCGAGCAGTCTTCCGGCAAGAGCTCTGTGCTCGAAGCGGTGTCGGGCGTCAAGTTCCCCAGCAAGGATAACCTTTGCACCAGATTCGCGACTGAGCTGATCCTTCGACGAGGCCCAGAGGTACCGATCAAGATCAGTATTGTTCCTGGTTCGCTTGAGAAATATCGGTCAGAAAATGATCTGGAGAAGCTGCGAAACTTCCACTACTCGAGCGCATTGGAAGATTTGGATCTCGAGCCCGTGATTGAGGCGGCGAAAGAGGCGATGGGCATCACCGAGGGAGGCATCAAAGTGTTCAGCTCCGATATCCTTCGCCTGGAGCTATCTGGACCCGATCAACCGCATCTTACGCTTGTCGATCTACCCGGTCTGTTCCAAGCTGGCAGTCGTTCCCAATCCGATACAGATGCCGAGACGGTGAAGTCACTTGTACTCTCGTACATGAAGAACCCACGCAGCATCATCCTCGCAGTCGTCTCCGCCAAGAACGACTTCAACAACCAGTCGATTACCAAGTATTCGCGCGACATTGATCCAGCCGGAGGACGCACTCTCGGGCTGATTACAAAACCGGACACGTTGGACGAGGGATCTGACAGCGAGCGATTCTACTTCGAACTGGCAGAAAACAAAGAGGTCAGGTTTCGATTGGGATGGCATGTTCTTCGCAACAGAGACTATGGCTCCAAGGACGCGACTACGGAAGAGCGCAACAAAGCTGAAGCACTCTTCTTCCAGACCGGAATCTGGACGTCGCTTTCGACCGATCAAACCGGAGTTCACAGCCTGAAGCCGAGACTCAGTAAGATTCTCAAGGACCACATTGTAGCGCAACTACCGAATGTGCTGAAGCAGATCAGAGCCGGCGTGCAAGAATGTACAACGAAGTTGGATGCTCTAGGCACATCCAGGACCACGGCGCAAGAGCAGCGACGGTATCTCTTACAAGTCAGTCAGTCGTTCAGCACACTAGTCCGAGCCGCCATCGACGGACAATACTCGGATCCCTTCTTCGGTGACGCCTCTACTGACGAAGGCTATCAGAGGCGTCTGCGAGCTGTCCTTCAGAACACCATGACGAAGTTCGCGGCCGATATGCGCAAGAAGGGCCACACTATTGCAATCGTAGACAACGAGGATGATGATGATGATGACGATGACGCACCGTTGCCACCTGGTCAGATGTTTCGCAAGGACTACATTACAGCTGTCACCAAACTTCTGGAGCGAAGCCGAGGTCGAGAACTGCCCGGAACGTTCGACCCACTCATCATCGGGCAGCTATTCCATGAGCAGCGCAAACCGTGGGCAGGGCTGGTCGACCAATACTTGCAGATCCTTCTTCGTGCTGTGCACTTCCTCGCTCGCAAAGCTCTGGCGCACGTCTGCGATGAAACAACTCTTATCGGCCTATCGAGAAGGTTCATCCAGGTGCGGTTGGAGAAGCTCACCGCTGAGCTCCGCACGAAAGTGAAGGAGCTTCTCAAGCCTCACGATACCGGTCACCCCATCACGTACAACCACTACCTGACGGACAATGTCCAGAAAGCACAAAGCCAGCGACGAGCACGTGAGATCAAAAAATCCCTAGAGAGCGTACTCGGTGGCGACTACAGCGGCGGCAGCACTTACAAGCTGAACATCAATGTGAAAACTTTGGTCGATACCCTGCTTGCGAAGACAGAAGCCGACATGAACAGCTATGCAAGTTCTACGGCCACCGACTTCATGGAGGCCTACTATAAGGTAAGTACGAGTTGCGCATGTTGTTATGAGCGATACACCCTGGAGCCTACATTGACGTTAGGTGACCTACTTCACACGTTTTCAACCTGATTTATGCTGTAAACCTTTTAAGATTTCCCTCATATGAGGTGCTGCCAACGTCACAACGCGTTAACAGATAGTGCCCAGCTTGATGGGCCAAGATCAAATTTACTAACGTTTGCAGGTCGCACAAAAGAAGATTATCGACGACTTCGCCGTCCTCGCCATCGAAGCGCGCTGCATGCAAGCCCTTCCCGACTTGTTCTCGCCAGCCGACGTCATCGACATTGACGACGCGACTGTGACTGCTCTGGCATCCGAGAGCGAGGAGTCTTCGAAAGAGCGAACGCGTTGCAGCGAGAAGCTCAAAATTCTTGAAGACGGGCTGCGAGCGCTCCAGGACGTTCGCAACATCTCGCCGCTTCCACAGGATGAAGGTATGATTCATCGACTAGATCGGCCTTGATGGAAGAACGCAATGCTGACATGTTCAAGATGCTCAGGATGACGGCACGGACTCGGAAGAAATCGATTTTCTGCCGAGCCCAGAACCATCAGAAGGGTCTGCGCACGACAGTGTTGACGAAGTTCCGGTGGTGGATGTATCGGAAGATGAGAAGCTCTTATTCTCTAATTAGCATGCTCTCTCCTGTGTTCGAAAGGCCATTCTTTGTATGAGCAACGAGTGTTCACGTTCGACAACGCAGCGGCAGGAAATGCTATGAGAAAAGTAGAGACAGAAAGAGATGACCGGCTGATATCGTCAAATTGATAATCCTTCTCTCACGAAATCGGTGATCCAGTCTTTAAATGTGTTGATATGGCTCTGTGTAGCTACTGATACCCCTCCGTCTTCGCAGCATGACTAGGTTTCGTCCCCAACCGCATAACCGGACTATTAACAAACTCCTCCAACCCATCATGCGTAAAGAACGTCTGCGCCTTACTAATCTGCACCTCATTCGCGCCCCTCTTCCAAATACTCTCATCGTAACTTGTGACCGC